TTCACAACAGTTCTCAGCAAGGCAGGAGATCAATGAATAACAAATGAGCCTCAGTGGTTCATTGGAAATATACTAATGTGAAATTATATTGTAAACGTTCTTCGGAGATTCTTCCAAAAGTGATCGTCGGAAACGATCTTGATTGCGATCAAATCTCGCTATCATGCTGTGAAATGTGGGCGTAGTCTAACACTGCAGTTGCGGATACTTCGGCATGACTGGAATGAACCAATTCATTGTCCAATCAATATGGCAAACCAAGTGCAAGACTAAACTTTTGGAACGAACCGCAGTTATGAAGTAGGCCGAAGTCCAACCGTAGTTATGCGTAATACTCAGTGATCGTCGGAAACTCCGATTAAGACGAATTTTCGACGGTTTTCCTACTCGACTATTTGGTAGGAACCAACTGCTTCGACGAGGTGGTCTCCAGTTGGGTTCCCTAGATTCAGAAAGTTGCTAATCGACGGAACCTAACCATAACCAACTATCAACTATTCGGATACGAATTGAAACTGAAGAAAAAAGATTATTTTATGCTCTACAAGCGATTCAATTGAAGGTGAAGAAAACCTTCATTAATTATTACATTAGGAGTCGAATGCTTGGACTTTAAACCTTTCGCAATCGAAGGTTTGTACTTCAAGTGCTTCCGTGCTCCTGTTTTGTGGACTTGGTGAGAAGCTCAGAAAGCTCCAAATTCCAGGGAACCTATGTTTACAGTTGTCTCAGTTAGCCTAAAGCGCGTAACATACTAAAAATTCTGGTTTGTTCTTCAACTGCCTCTGTGTGCCAACTTCACAAAATTACACTCATTTATTATGCATCTCCAAGGGACGACAAGTGGCTTGACGGCATGACGATGGCGAAAATGCTAAAAGATTAATATTTGCAAGACATGTCCTGCAGATGTTACAGATCAGCGGCAAGAGATTGCAAATAAATCGCTGTTCATAACAGTCTTATCGCGTTGATGAAATACTACTTATTTGTAGATTCTGTCGCAGTTCGATCATCAATTGCATGTCTTTTGCAAACTGCTTATGAATACCGAATACCAACTCAGTTCAACATTGAACTGCTCACAATCAGTGAGTCAATTCTGAGAGAATGAAATCTTCGTTTGATTTCATCCTGAAACAAACGCAAAATATTCTCGATGTACAATTATGATCGAAATATTTCCCTTACATCGATTAAAGTGGTCTTAAAAGTTTTACGCCATCGATGAGTGAAACAATTTCAGTATACACGTGATCGGAATGAGATCAGTTCACATTTTCAACATTCGTGACAAGTCAACTCTTGACTGGAATTTCCAGACTTATAAACAGTATTTGAGATATCAATGAAAACTTTTGGATTCAGAGAAGAAAATAAGAATAATTACTGAAAAAATTCCAAATTGAGAATAATTCACGAAGAATTTCTGCAATCGAAGCATGCGCGGAAATTGTTCATGCTATATGAGTCCAGCTGACAATAAGCTTGTTTGAATTATTGTCTCAGCTTTATGTGACCGCCAAGTTTTGATTTGAGTGTATATCAGTACGGCTGGTACCACTGGCTATTAACGTGCGAGCTAAACGTAGATGTCGAATACAGCTATCAATATTTATGAGAGTGTTCAAGAGCATTTGCAATCTTCAACGCACTTTTACTTCTTCAATTATTGATGAGTGAATGTGTTTCCGCGAACAGAGTGAATAAAGAGGCACCAGCAGTAGAACGAGATAAACAATTGAATGTCAGTAGCCAGAATGAGAACGAGAGCAGATGAAGCAACCAGCTCTCATTCACTTGCAATTCCGTCTTAATTAAATTTCCATGGTGAATGCTAAGAAGTGTCTGTACAGTGTCGACAACGAAATATTAGTCAAGCGATGCGTAAAACCGCTGCATGTCACGTGAAGTACACGAGAATGAACAACCCGAGCTTTAAAAAAATCCAATAGGGGCAAGCGTTACTAATGATGAGAGAGGTATTATTTGGAGTTGCGATTCTGTGGAATTAATTAAGTGCAAAGGGATACCGATTACATCAGATTACTGGGAAAACTAGATGAGTCAATATAGGGGAAGTGAGACATAAACACTAAGTCGTGACAGCGTTTTCAGTGCTAATCATCGCTTTCTGTTTGATAATGAATAATGATACTCAGGGTTATCTTTGAATGAGAACGCTGATGATATGGACCTAGTGGTGAAGGGGATACGATTGAGCGTTTTACAGTTGTACGTTTCGAGAGAAATATCACATTCAGGGATGAGGCTAATCGGCGTTGAAAGCGATCCTTTGTTGTTTTGAACATGAGAGAATCGTGAAGCATTAATGAAAAATTTTTTTGTCGTCCAATTTATGGATACACTGATCATGAGTGTACCACCATGCCAATCACAGATCCTACGATAATCTTTGTGGAGTGTTTAAAAAAATCATTCAACAGACAGAATCAAACTTGAAGAAACTGAACAGAAAGGGCCGTCGTGATAAAATTCGGTTGAATCAAAATTTAATAACAGAATTTTCAATGCAAAAGTATCGATCAGTATGCAGTAGGTAAAAGGTGATTAATAAGAAGAGGGGTGGGCCGAGAAGATATTTAAGATTATAAACCATTCCGAAATAGAAGTAAATGAATATTTTTTAAGGAGAATTCAGTCATTACCCCCTTTCATTGTTCGAGTCAAGAGAAGATTAACGCATTTAGAAGAAGCATAGAGGCACTGAAAAGTAGATTCCATTAGAAAATTATCATGAACGTGAACATTCGAAAAAAGTATCTCTCAATGCATGCTGGTGAATCAGTTTCCTTTTTTTAGTACACATTTATTAGTGATTTTAGTCCATTAGCACGCACATGGACTTCTACGAGCGCATTATTTTAGTTGAATAGAAAATTGCGAACTGAGAATGAAAAGCGTGAAGTAAGGGCGAACGAAGTCAAGTGATATTGGCAAAATCCCGGCCATTCTCAATCGCCAGATTGAGATTAAATCCGGCGAAAGTTTTATAGTCCTAGGATAATCTTGGGATTGCAAAGTGATCATAGCGAAAAACAAATCAAGACAGTCTAAGATGGTGCTAGGTGTTGATTAAGTATCATTTTAGGTATCATTCATTCCCTGTCGGGTGGTAAACAACAAGTGTTATTGAATACGGATGAACTGAACTGGGAATGATTAATGTGTAAATCAAGGCGGGTATATTACCAAAATAATATGAAATGTCGTGCTTCGTCACATTCCAGAATTTTTCGCAGGCATCGGAAATGAAAAGTCGGGATCCCGTGCAAATACTAACGTCAATTCACGACCGTTTACGAAACCAAATGACATTGATATCCTCATAAAATCAATAGGCATGCCGATATCTTCCCATCTTAAAAATCATAATGGTGCAAACAGTTCGAGAGAAGAATTATCATTTGATCGTTCGTGAGGACTGATATGATCTTATCAACAAACATAATTTCAGTGAACCATTTTCAGCACCATCATGAAATCAGTTTAACAATTTTTAAATAACTCTTATCATGTTATCGAAATTTTGAAACCACTATTGTTTTTCTGGGAAGAAGAAGATCTGAGCTGAATCAGAGGACACTTCATGTGTGAAAGTAATTAGACTCTTCAATACTTCATTCCACAAAATACAAAAAACTTGCAAACTTGCAGCTCTTGACGTCTTGCTGAGGAACTTTTTTCTTTATGCTTCTCCAAGTTGATTAAGTCAACCTTATACGGATTACAAATGATGAATCGACAATCGCGGACTAGTTTCATTTAGGTCACCTCATATTGAATTTTGAAATACTTCAATTTTGCAAATTCCTTATAACATTTTCGTTATATGTCAAACTGAAAGGAAAGTATTCATTAGCAAGTATGCAACTATTCACAAAAACGTTATGTCTTATTGGCTCCGGGCATAAATTCTGACAAAATCTATCGGATCAAGTATTCCCTTATTAACTAAAGGTTGCACTGATGTTCCTTCAAACGTAAACGCTCAGCAAATGTTTTGGAGGATATTCCTTGACCAGACTAGTGAACAACAGCGGTGATAAGAATGCGGTAATCCATATCACGAGATCTTATCTATCTGCACAATACATAAAACACTAGCCAATGCACGCATCTAATGAATTGCCTCAATATAAGTAACAGAGTTCTATTTCATCGTTCATTATTTCTTCCACTTTACAATCTGAGGGAAGTGGTAACGTCCAACAGTTGGAAAGTGCACTGGCGCAATCGTACATTTGTCTAGGAGAAGTGTGATTGTTAGATATTCATTCATTCTATTAACTACTCCCGACTTCAAGCAGTCTTATCATTGTCGTAACACCTTGACGCCCTCATCGGCAAATAATGGCGATGGTTTTTTTGTTTTTCATTCAAATAATTGTCGATTCATTATTGACTATAATAATAATGAGGCAGTGAAACATTAGGGTGTATAATCATTTAAAAGATTCATTTATGCGTCTATATCATTCCAATTGATTTTCAAATGGTATAAGAATAGCCACTGCGTTTGATGAATGAGCTCTGCACTGTTAAATTAAGAGTGAATCAAATTCTTACTTAATGAATAGCTGATGAATGAGAAACAAAACGGTTTCCTCATAAATATGAACAGTATGAGTCGGCTTTACGAAATAACTTATTGTCAGTATATAAAAGTGAAGCGTAAAGAAAACGATCGTTTGCTAAAGTTGATAGGTTCATCTTGAAATTTGTTCCTTCGCTCATCACGTGGCTTTGTGAAATATCCCAATATGTCGACAATATGTTGTAAAATAATCTAAGATCGTTAATTGTGGCGAATTTTGGATCTTCAGAGCATGCTAAATGAGTTACGACATCCGTTGAACATGTCAGTCAACATCTCACTCAGATGCGATTCAAAATAGAATCAAACAAATGCAGTGACGGATTTTTATGAGATAACCGTTTACTAGTGAATATCAGCCTCCTTCGAAATTGAATTAAGAATGCTTCAGATGCGCACTGCTTTGTTTTTGCTTGTTGTGATTGCATCAGTCGCTGTTCAAGCACAATCTAAAACACTTCCCGACAAATTTCTTGGAACATTCAAACTTGAGCGAGATGAAAACTTCGATGCATACCTTAAAGCCCGAGGTGAGTTTCGTATCTGTTGATGTCAAAACACTCTTTTAACCACTTCTTTGATGTATCGAAAGCACCTTTAGATGAATTTTAAATGAATTTTAGAAATTCGAGATTAACAATGGCAATTGATAATTTGAATGGTGATGACAATTACTGCATTTCGTCTCAGTTGCGAATGCTCAATCGTTTCTAACTGTGTGAATGTATTTTTCGGAATTGAGAACCGAAACGTTCAGCTGACTTGTTTGAAGTTAAATGATATGTGTGCTCTCAAAGTATGTGCGTACGGCTGTGAACTATTTGTGATGGATCAAACAATGTTCAAGGTTATGGATGGCTAATGCGACAGATGATCAAACTAGCAGGTGTGACCAAAAAATTCAGGAAAGCCGAATCAGGAAGGCCGAACCGATATGATATGGAGAACCTAACGACGAAGAAGGATACACATCACAGGGATTGGGCACTCGGTGAAGAATTCCAAGATGAAGCTCTTGACAGTACTCAACATAAGGTGGCTTTGCTGCTGCAAATTAGATCATTATGGAGCAGCCATAATGCATTGCTATAATAGAACAAGATCTGCATTAATTTAGCTGTAATTGCTATCAAATTTTGCATTACTATGCTGATTGTTAGTAAGAATTGTGTGGAACGCTCCAGAATCGAACCAATGAAATGTTTGATTCCTTCTTTCGCCTGTTTCCATCTATACTGAATGAATGTTTTGCATCACAAATTCGCTTGTTTAATGCTACTTTAATGTTCTCGTTCTGATGAATGCAATTTTAGCATGGGCATCTACTCATTCATAAACCTTTTATCAGTTCCGGGTTTTTTGAAACACTTCTGACCGTTAAGAGTTCATGCAGTGTTCTTGCGTTGTGTCATGCGATGTTTTCAGATTACCTTCGATCTGAAAAATCCCGATACGCTAACCGAAAAGCACATTAAAATGGAAGATCCAACTGATGTTGAGACGTATGAATACACTCGTGATGGCGATTATCTGGTTATGGTAAGCGACCTTTTATTGTTACTTGATTTGAAATAACAATAAATTTAATTAATATACTAATTAGCATCACTTTTGTCACCTTGATCAATAAACGACGCATTCAATTCAGTTCAAATTGGAAGTAATTGTGATTGATATTTTGAAAGCAAATATAGTTTTTCCAACGAATTTCGCCCTAAATCATCTCGCCGTACTGAGGTGTATAACGTATATCACGACTTCTGTTGTTTACAATTAAAACAATAATAATCTTTGGTCGTGCTAAATAACGATAGCAGAAACATCATAAAAGTCTGTTTCCATCGGATTTTACGATGTCTCAATTTTCGTTGTCTGATAACCGTAACTTCGTAGTTACAGACTGCGATCAATAGTGAGTGATAATGCTTTGTATCAATAATGAGTCGCCCATCCAAGTCTATCTATCCTTATTTTCAGAAAATGACATGGGATGGCGCAACGACACATCGCTATTACAAGAAGCAGTAGTAATGATAAGAACGAGTCAGAGATTCTAAAACTATTTTGTTGCTACCTTATAACATCTTTCATTCATTCTCTTTCATGTTCTCTCTTTCTGTTGAATAAAATCGTTCTAAACTAACATGCAGTTTGAATAAACACCACAAAAATATTTATGTAGCACTCATACAGAACATTGCTGAAGCAAATCAGGCGTGATTATACGAAACTATAGTACTGTGGACAATACGTATACGCATGACATAGCGAACAAGATCTGGCTCAATTAATTAGTGAATTCTATCAACGGAACGATGAGAAAATCAAGTTCTGAATGTATTCAGCTAATTGCTCATCTGTTGTTCGAAGGCATTCAGGCTTGCATGATGCTCGTGAACTGGACATTCATGGAGCGTCCTTGAAGCACGAATGATGCTTCAGTGTGTGCTTCATTAATGCTATCATTATCCTTATTGCTGTTTCAATCAGCTGTATGTTTAATGAAACTTGATGGAATAACTAAGAATAAATTCGATGTTTGAGTGAATTTCTCCGAATTCAGGGACTATTTTGGGAGGACAGTAATATTATGACGATGGTGATACGCCTAATCTGAGAAGATCTAACAACGCAGAATCATAACTGCTCACGGAGAGAGACTGAACCGGTAGTACGAAGGCAGGTGATTAATGTTGCAAAAAATGATGGCCCACAAAGGAAACGAAAAGACAATATAATGATTAGGTGTGTACAAAGAGGATAGATAGTATCTGAATAAAGTTTCCCGATTTTGTGCACTCGGATACAATTTTCTCAACAAATTTCGCCAAACTCATGTGGCAATGAAAGGATGCAACGAGATGGTTCTCTTGAGGGCATAGTGATTAGCAAACGTTTACACCAACTCACATTTGCTGACAATGATTCAAACAATGAATGTTTTGTAATGATCCATTTTTGTGATAAATAACGATAACAAATACATCTCAAAAGTTTCTTCGCATCCGATTTCATCATGTCTCCTTAAATTTGCCTGAGAGCGATAAGTTTACAAAGAGCAGTTTACGATCAGTGATGAATGATAGTGCTTTGTCAGTGATGAATTCACCTTTTAGTAACGAATCACCTATCGAAGCTTATCTACCTTCCGTTGAGCTTGATGACGGTTGAATCTGCATTCTTATCACATAGGTTTGTTGAATCATCCATACTGAATGCAACTGGAACCACGCATCCTAGAATGTACTTGAATATGGTTCATGCGTCAACGAATGGGCAAATGCGAACGAGTGTTTTCAGAGAATGAGGTGAAAATGTGTAACTACTGTAAGCCTCTCCTGTGAGAATGTGAAAGAATGACCAGAAAAACTCAACGTTTTCACAATTAGCGCAAAACTGCTCTGTTATAATCAAGTGCTTTATTGTTTTTGATGCTCTTTCCATTCATTCTTTGATGTCCTTATTTCTCTCGAATAGTTTTTTTCGAAATAACTAGCAATATATTTTTCTGAATAGTTTGATCAACGCATATACGCGTTCACCGAAGGAAATAAACAAAATTATCAGTCGTTATTATAAAATGTAATCACTGAATTTGCCTCATTGATGGAGAACCAAAGAACTGAGGCAACCGAATGTCATGGGGAACATTTTTAAAATGTACAAAAAAGATGCTAAAATTTTGCTCGGCAGCATTCATAATTCTATGAAGCAACTGAATCTCAAATTTGAACGTTCTGTTTTGATAGATAAACGTTATGTGAAGTTGATGCGATAAAAGTGGTGTGCGCGGAATTGAACTTATGCTCATGAACCTCATTAGTCGACGTTAGCATAACATTTAATGATTACGTTTATTCTCGTAAGATAAGGTCACAGACCCAAACTCACAAACACAAACTTGTCAGACAAAAAATTGATCGAACACTGAGCAATTTAACCGCAATTCGTAATACAATATGTTCAAGCTAGCAAAAATATAGTTCGTAATGCAGAACATCTACGAAACCGTAACCGACAGTTACGCAAACTCTTTGCGTAATCTTACCGCAAATTCTTCGCAATCTCGGAATCCCTTGATAAGTTTAATGCAATCGTTTATTGAATTCAATGAAAAATTCTAATTAATGCGCACAAAATTGTCAGTGAAGTTGTGCATAACGATGAGGTTATGTTCCGCAATCTATAATGATTCAAGACTACCGTACTCTCATATCAATTTCTTCACACCAATCGATCGAGCAGAATCTCTGCATTTATAAAAATATATATTTCGTTGGATGATTTTGCTTAGTTGAGGAGATATAGCTATTTTATTAAAGCTATCATCTCAACTAGCGCAATAGTGCTCATTGATATGCATTTGATCACTGTAGATCAATAGAAGTCATGCATTACTATAGAAATGTAGGTTTGACACATTCAAGCCTAGCGTCTTCTCAGGTTTGCCCAGTAACATATTAATGTTTATATATCATTCGATTGAGCAGAGTCTCTGCTTTCTCGATGCTGGTTAAAAAATTCTGCTGTGTGAGGGAAAAGCTTTTATCATTTTTTTGAAGCACTGCATATAATATTGACCCAAATACTGAAGCAGCTACGATGTTCCTTTAGCGCGATTGCGGTTATCCTTAACAATTCAGAAATGGTTTCATGTTTATGTTCTGGTGCATATTTATTAGCCAGATCAATTCTTATCCTAACACGTTTATTTTTTGCATTAACAATCCCAACTATTACTTCAGGGATGGTTATTTTATCATTCGTTATAGATTAATAGCGTGTGTAAATTAAGAGTTGGGGTCGTAAAGAGATTGTTCAACAGATTGGCTTCATGTTTTCAGCTTATTACTCCACTCATTCTTTTTTTTGCCTACGTGCGCCGCATTATCTCATGCTCTACAGTCACTATCAACAGCCCATTAATGCTGCATATCAATTAACCGGTTTTGAAGCTGCATGTCATGCGGTTGTTGCTGACATGATGCGATGTCAGTGCTTCTGGATTCTTACCTTGATTTCCCTTTTTATCGATTCAGAATCTTCAAACAAATCTGTCCCAGTTGAATTGATGCAGTAAGCCATCATGAAAAACATTCGTTATTCTGATTCTGATCTTGCGATCTCATAAAATGTGAGTGATTGTGAATGATTGCTCAGAGAATAGTACTTATAATTTGTTTGTTGATTGTTAATAATATCATGCATTATCATCCTATATTATCATCACACATTACTGTTGTCAATAAAAATTCATTCGACTCGTTTTATCATTTAGCAATGAAATTCATCATTGAAGTAAAAGATCGCTTGGTGAAAGACATACAAAAATATGCAATCCAGTTCCATCTGATTTGTTTTTTTCGACAGATTGGAACGCTATAAAAAGCGTTTTCTCTCGATAAACAGTTACTCATCATTTGTATCGCATTGTCATCACTATGACCGTGGCTGGATCCATTTGCGTGAGTTTGACTTTGTTACTGTGGAAATTCAAGAGAATTCATTGACGAGATAAATATTCCTGAACGAATCTCAGTCTTTTCAACAACTGCACACAGAAGACATCACCCCTCTTTATGATAGGAGATACGAATGAATGTTTTCACTTGTATCAAAAGAAATTGAATGTCTCCATTAAATCGCCATAACGAAAGCTTCGGTTCCAGCAATGTGATCTTGCTAAGTTTCAAGGAATATTTTCATGAACACTAATCGGTTACTGATATTGAATTTCAGCTGTTGTGCATAGCTGTGGGAGTTATAGCCGTTGACGAGAAAGAATTGACCAGACGTAGGTTTTTATCTCGTATTATTAATTGATTAAAGCGGAATTTACAAGGTGACTGGCAGAATAGTTGATAGATCATCGTCAAATCATGTTCTACATTCGATCAGATTTACCTGATCACTCGATCTGGTTTTATAAGCCTAGTCTTCTGTGGACAGTGGCATACTGTCATGCAGCTCTGCTCTGTGCGAAGTTGTCGATACTTGAGATATCAAGGTAAAGCCAGTTTTACGCTAGGGCTTCTGGAAATGTGATAATTTTGCACAATATCCGAAAATTTGTATTTGATGCACATCTGTGAGAGATACAGTGTTTAGCAGTGGCGGTGCATTTATCCTCATAACTTTATTACTGGTAGAAAATATTATGGATGTTGTGCTAAACAAATTCTGACAATGAGCAAATTTAATGAAAGCGACGTGCTCGTCAACGAAAATATATTTCTAAGCAAGCTGTTCTGGACATGCACCTACAAGTGATTGATTAGAGCCCTTGCGGTCGTTTTGATGAACTTTTCAAATGTGTGGTCAAGGTCGTTCGCTATTTTCCCATTATGTTGACTTTGATGCACAACTCTTCATCAGATATTTAACAAATGATTAATTCACGTTTATTTCACTTGCCCATTTCAGTATGTTCCGACAGATTTTGCCCTGTCGGGACTTTCTGCGACGTTCGCGAAATATCAACGTGCTCGAAACCACCATGTAAGCCAATTACTGCTTGCCTTCCTGACAATATTAATGGTAAATTCGATCTTCATTTATTGTTTCGTTCATTTTGTGGATTGTTTTAAATTCATTTGTTAGTTCGATGAAACATATTGTGACGGAACGGTTGGGGGTCTACACCACGTTTTGAATGAAACACATCTGCTTCACTTCTGGTACTTCACTGTGCTAAGTTGCACACTTCCAGTTGTCGATATCAGTATTATTATTAGTATCACTGTTTTTATCATCGACAGTGCTATTATTATCGGAATGCTGTTAGTGCAGTGATGATTCTATCCATATTTTCATTCGTGGTTCTTTGACTCAGGATGCAAAGGGCATCCAAAATGTCCGTCAGGTCAAGTCTGCGTTGAACATCGAACATCGTGCATCGGTCGATCGTGTAAGAAAATCGCGAGATGTGCTCGTAAAGGAAGTTAGCAATTACAATCACTATTGTTTCTTGTTATTCTATATTACTGTTTAATATTTCATCGCCCAAATCACTAATATATTTATTTGCTAACTAAGTCTGATTTTACATTCATATATTTTGTCATAAAACGTGTCAGTTTTCGAAGTAAAACATCATTATGGATGGAATAGTGACAGCGCGCAAAATGCTTCATTAGTAATCTGTGCAAATACAGCAATTGGTGAGAAGCACCGGACACTTTGCGTAAAGAGCACGTATAATTAGGCAATTGCGGAATGTCAATGTCTTCTGGTGTGCGCTAAATTTGAAACCATTTGAGAAAATTCCATATGGTGATTATTTGAACGGAATTTTATAAGTTTTTCGTCTCAAATGTTTCATGCTTAGGCGAAAATCGGCTAAATATGGAATAAACAATGCCCTAACGCACAGTATGGCTTTCCTAGAGGAACAAAATTCATGTTGATGAGATTTGTTGTGACGAAGCAGATAATGATCATTCATGAATTTTTTTTTCAAAAAAATAAATTCTTTCTAATACTTTAATAGAGTTCAAAATTGATACGAGTTGTTTTTCAGCTTGTGATGCATTAGAGTGTCTTCCATCACAACATTGCGTTCTCGATCCGAAGCCAAAATGCGTGAAAAACTGAAGTGATACGGTTTAACGAAGGAGTCAGTCATACAAAACAAAACATTCATTGCTTCTGTTATAAAATCTGTTTATGTCATATCGTCTCTTCCTATAACTAGTATGCTACCATTTCTATGTTCCGATTTCCAGTTATTGCTACGATTGTTGCTTATATTATCATTGTTGGTGATTTTAGCATTATCCATAACGTAACTTTTCACAAGCCAATTCATCTTCTTTTGCCAAGTAATGTAAAATTTCGATCGTAATTCATTCATAATATGTTGCACGTTGTTTTATTTCATCCTTCATTTATGTAACTGTTCAATAAAAAGGTTCCAATCGTGATGTTCTAACAGATTTCTTTCTTGAACAATCTCTTGCGATCACTTCATATCTTTCAACAACACACATACGCTTCTTTAGATCATATTAATCGCAGTGAATAAGAGGAACAGTTTTGACTCTTGTGGAACTCTATATTCAGCGGCATTCGTTCTCACTGAGTAGAACTTTCAACGCGAAGGGCGAAAATTAAGTGTGTTAGAAAAGCGGAATTAAGGAAGTTTCTCGGAATCCGCGAATCGTACGATTGTTCAAGCTCTTCAGATTGGTTTAATGCGCACAGAACGTTCATCATATTCAGATGAACTACATAGTCAGATTTTCTGGTCAACGTGATTCCACTTGTACCATGTGTGAATTTCCTATATCCTCTTGGTTTTTGATCCCGCTTGAATAGCGGAAATTTTGCGATAACTGTAGAAACTTATACATGTGAATTTCGAGAAGCTGATCTGGGCGTGGTAGATTCAAGGATGCAGGAACAAGACCCCATCAAGTGCATCATGCAAATCGTTTTCCTGAACCAAGCACATAAACGGAGAGCAGTTTTCGAGGTAAAGAATCATCATTATCCTTCTTCTTAAATACTGTGAATGCAATACGCACTTTGTTCCATCTTCACTATCTGACTTATCACTTTGTGATCCGTTATCATTCTTTATCATTATCGGGGTATCCTTGACCAGTAACACGTGAATCTGAAACAGTAAACTTGTCCACATCACCTTCCGTTACCGAATCATGAGCATTCACAAGACCGAACATAGAGCTTAATTTTACGACAATTCCTTCTGCTCATCACATTCAGTCCGTCACTACATCTTTTTCTATGTGACACTTTTAAAACTGACATGCAAACTATGATTAGAAACAGAGGTGGAGGGAGGGTTTGTGGGGAGTATCCCGCTCGCATGAGCGGCGGATGAGATGGCCTGGGATCCTGCAAAACAGGTCTCAACTGTGCATTTTATTGGTAGACCAGGGAATCCCTCCCCATTCCGAACTCTGATACAAAATACCCTATGATTCAGCAATCTATTGATCAGACGTCAGGAGGCCCACACTTTTCGAACTCTTTTGAAACAATTTGCATTCGCCATCAGTTAGCACTATTAGTTCACGTAAATTCCAGATGATGTAACTTCGCACATGCTATAATACCCTAATTCATACGTTCTATTGAAGCAATCGGATTTATTACAAAAAATACTAAAACCTTGAGCAGTCAGTTCGTTCGCCTTAAGGGAAGCAGAGCAATTATCCAAGTAGTGATTATGATAATAACTTTATTTTAATTATCAGAATTTTAATTACCCTAATTTCAGCAATTATTCAGGAAGCAATTATCCCAATAATTTTCGTTCCAGCTGCGGCACAGATTCCCATGGAACCATTTCATGATCAGCATTGTCTTTGATTCGACTGAACAACAAGCAAATCACTCACCATAGTGAAATATCTTGGTTTTGCCAATTTTCGAATGATAAGGTCAGGTGTTTTATATATTGAATTGTTTTTATGAACACTGAACAGAGAAAAGTGGAACTCGGTGGACCTGCGTTCTCATACAGAACGATGACAAGTCGCAAAGTAATATTAACACCATTTATTGGCACACAGAGCTGGATGGTTAACTCGTTCAATTCACTCATTGTTTGGCCCTTCTGATGTGAACGGTTAGAAGCATCAAGTAATGCTTCATTCGATCATCGCCGAATACCAAGAACCCACTTAGCAAGTTGAATCTTAAAACTTATTGTACACAACATGGCCACATTGAAGAGTTCATGATAACTCTTGAATTGCTCTTCGACAAATAGGACTGAATTAATTCATTATGCAACTGCCGAATATCAAAAATCGCTTTGTGTGTCGCAATCACCAGCAAACTGATAATTATTGTGACAGCAACGACAATAGATTGAGGCGTACATGATCAGTGATGTAGTTAAATATGTCATGCGAATAGATAACACTGTTTTGATGAATTCACTGAATAAGAAATTAAGTTTGTATAATTATTAGCATCATATAGTCGACATATTGTGTGAATGCTCCAGAACGCGACATATAATGACAATTTATGGTTTCGATAATTGATTGAGCCGAAAATGTTTTTAGGCCGTACGACATGCCGTCTAGGTCAAGGCCGGGCATTATAAACTTTTTTCAACGAACTATTTTTGAGCATACGAATTATTCAACCCTCCTAATGTATGTTTCAACAGCACTGTCCAGTATATTGCTCGAGGATGTTTCACAGAACTGATTACATAAATTCTACGTATCGTCATTTTTGATGTTATAACCTGAAGCTTCCGCAAGTGCTTCAATCCATTCGACTATAATTTATCACTTGCAGATATTTCTATAGAAGTAACTATAAGCATTTTTCATTAGCAATTGTTGATGATAACTTTTAATGTGAACTCAGTATCCGTTTCCTTACAATTATGCACAGAAAACCGGAACTTTGTCACGTTTAAAGAAGCGCTAGTCGAAATCCATCGACAATTCCACTTATCCGTCTTCGGCTTTTCGTGCGTTGCATTTGACGTATCCTTGAGCACAACTGAGGATGGTACTCGCGACTCTGACCGACTCTAATGTAATGCTTCAGTCGGAAATCAAGTTCAGAATTTCATTCTGACAATTCACGACTTTTCAGCAAGTAGCAAATTTCTGGAACACGGTGATCATTTCGGTCGTTTTTCAAAATGCAATGTTTTATTCGATTACGAAAACTGGACGATAGTGGGAAGCAGCAAAATATTCTAAATTCAAAATGTTTATTGTTTTTAGATGTTAAAAGCTGTGTACATATTCGTTGTAGCCACTGTCGTATGCATCAACGCTAAAAAAATGCCAGATAAATATTTTGGCACATATAAACTGGAGCGTTCGAATAATTTAGAGGAATATTTGATTGCAAGAGGTTGTTACACCCCCAATATTTCTCCATTTATTTTCACGTTTTATCCAAAAATGCGGCACCATTTTGATGGGATAACAGACAATAGCATAAATTTTCACTTTGTCGCATCACTTTCAAGTCATCGACCAAAATTTGAATGTTCTTTTCTCATTGAAATCCCACAAAGTGAATCAACTGCAAGTGAAAGTGGAGTGATAAGATTGATTGACAGAAAAACAAATCAAACGGACACTAATTATAAGGACTCGATGAATGAATTATTTGAACTAAGTTACATTTGAAGGATATCGCTGGTTCTCGAGACGTTTAATAATGTTAGCCAGCATCACCAAAGTCATACGGAAGGCAACATCTGGAATGCCACTTCGTTACGATATGGACACGTTAACGTGGAAGAAGAACGTTTATTACAGAGATTTCGTTTTAGGACGCCAATTTGAGAGCGAAGGACTAGAAGAAGGTCTTTTCAAGGTATCTTTTTGGTCTCGTGCAAATGTCATTTTGGGTACCTTATTAATTCCATTATTAAGTCATATCTCATCCCAGATCACTTCAACAATCCTGATGACCATTTGAAGCGACGAAGATATCATTGAGCAAATCAGAAGTGTTCGAGTTGATCAGTGATCAAAATCGCTTCTTCGCATGTCCACCCAGTAATGCTTCTCAACCCCTTTCACCGCCCGTACCCCTCAAAAACCTTAAAATCCCCTCACATCAACAATGAAAATGTCCTCATATCGCTCACAACATCCATTCTGTATCTGTCATCCATCTTGTAGCATAGATAAGTGCATATTACCAAAGCACGTTCTAGCCTTTTCAAAAATATAACGTCATTGTCTACTCTCGCTTACTCTATTCAAATGTATGAAATCCATCGTCGACTGGTTTTCTCGCACCCCCCCCCCCCCCCCCCCCCCCCCCAGGAATGTGAGCACACCTAGTTAAAAAATTGCCAGAGAAATATTTTGGCAGATATAAACTGGAGCGTTCGAATAATTTAGAGGAATATTTGATTGCAACAGATTGTTACACCCTCAATATTTCTCCATTTATTTTCATGTTTTATCCAAAAATGTGGCACCATTTTGACGTGGAGCATTCGGTCGATGTAACTCATTCCAAAAACAGAGATAGTGTTTTCAGGTGACAATGGATTTGAAGAACGGTACCGACATATTGACCGAAAATGTAATTCGAGTTGGTGATCCGGATGACAACGAAACGTTTGAATATACCAGAGATGGTAATTATCTCATAATGGTCAGCGACATTTTATTACATGTTGTTAGGGCATTGAGATTAGTGACATAAAAATATTCCAAATCTTTTGATGAATATAATTATCGTGATCGTTTTCATTGTTTTATTATTTTCATTTTATTATTATTATTATTAGTATTATCATTGTTATTAATATTATGGTCATTGTCTTTCCTCCTTGGAGTGTAAACACACGTGATTTACATGCGCTTTGAATTTCCTTTTTAATTTATGTAGTGCGATAACATATCGTTTAATTTGATAAATCCTCAAGGACATAAGAAATGAACTGACAAATCAATTCTGAAAACTTCAATTTTTGCTCCTCATAGCTTTTCATGAATGAGGAATGTTTTACTAAAGGAAATTAATTCAGCGGTGATACCACCTGGTACATTCTTCCGTTTGACATCATTTCATGAGCCTTTGCGATTATTCACTCACCTCATTTTCTTGCATCTTCACATCTTCACAACGCAAATTCAAAGTATCGATTGCGATGTTATCACTAAAAATGAATGCGCAACGCACCACAATCAACTTCTAAACCTGAACTCACTGCTATACGCATCACTGATAACGAATGCGTGCTGATAATTTACAACGTGTCGTAAACTTCATACCAATCACAACAAATAAAAAGAAAAAAACAATTTTCAATTTTCAGCGTACCGAATGGAATGGTGTTCGTGCAGAAGGATATTACATCAAACATTAAAAATTCACTTGAATCGATCCTATGAAGCACAATAGAAAAGACCCTATGAAGCACAATCTATAGGACGTTTTCAGTTTCAATTATCGGACTAAACGCAAACGAGAGCAACAAGAAGGCATTCATCGCACACTGGTATCAAATTAAGCCTACACAAACAGATTCTCATTATGTTTGATTCTCAAAACAAATTCACTTCTTATAATAAACACTTCATTATAATTGTTCATTCAAATGTTTCACAACCCATCCTTGTCTATAATTCTGTTAGAGATTGTAACATTTCTCTGTTGATTGAATGCGATCAAGATCAACTTCATAACGTGTATTCAACTGGATCAGTCATGCAAATATCACACAATTCCAACTCAGAAAGCCACGGACAGAATACAATAATGTTAGTACGAAAAAATTCATTGCCATTCTGAGGATCCTACATTCCAATTGTAAGGAACACAATAAAAATGAGTTCTAAAATAGAGATGACTAACGATGACTCAGTCGCATTAATTTATATCAAAATCAAATGACAACCAACTCGCGCGTCACAGATGATTCGATGCTTAGTGAATATTTATCATTGATTAGTAAATAATCGTTTCAAATATTCGGGAAAAATTGGAACGAAACGAATTTGAACGAAAAAACTGACAAATGATCTGAAAACAGGTTCCATACAAACGCATTCGTTGAAATCATTAAAAAAAGACGGTGATATGACGCAAAAACGATGAGTAAAGAAATAAGCAACAATTGAAGGGCAAAAGATTAGCGGAAGAAAGACTGAAAATTACTTATAACTAAATAACTTACAACAACTTATAATTCGTCATAGTCCTCGAATTCATCGATACCGAATCTAAGATCATGTTCAATGATGAACTTAATAGGTTCACACATTTCACTTACATCATTCTCACAAATCAGTACCGCCTATGACACAAAATTAAAACAACTGACGAGGTCCCAGAACAAATATTAATATTCCTGGCGTAATCGAAATAGTGAATAATATCGTGTTAAGGAAACAAAATTAACGGGAAAAGCAACAACAAAGGAACTGGCAACATTGCGCAATGAAACATGCCATGAACTAGTCATCACTGCTGTACATATTTGGGCAAATGAACACCACACGTTTTAGCACTGTTTCGTTTCAAACACGTTCGTTGGACAAGAGCCGTGGAAACGAAAATGAACGAATGAAGAATGAAAAAAACAGCATGTGATTAGAAAAATAAACATTAGTTGGCTTTGCACCAATTGCATTGCCACACTTTAAAGTCACAACAATACAGCGATGAAGCACATAAAGAAATGTACTACAACGAAAACTTTTCGCTGAATTATTTGTCATCTCTTCATTTTGAGGCTATAAATACTGTTTCCAGATGCTAGCCTTAAACATCATTCCATAGCACAAATCATTAGCTATAAAAACATGACACAACCAATTCTGAATTTCACAATCAACTTCACAATCAGGCGGATTTCTTCGGTTGAATATTAAGAACTCAACGAATCAATGACATGCATCAGTTGCAAACGTATCCATCTGGTCAGCACGAGGATTCAAACATTTCAATATGGCGAATAACCAATGTCCGAAAGCTGCACCAAGCACCACAGCCGCAGTAAGCCATGAATTATAGGTCATAGCGATCAACATCAACCAATATGCTAAAGTTAGCTGGATCGCATACAAAAGTGCCTGAAGATTAGTTTTCAACTTTAACAATTCAGCAACTGTTACATAACCGCCACAAATGAACAGCAAAGATGTCTGCCTTCAGTAGTCTTCTCGAGGCTGATCGCTATCATTTCAATGATTCAACTTCGATTAATTTCGATCTACGTTTTTGCAAATGTATCATTGGTGAATAGATGAAATCTCAGCCCCAAATGATTCCAAGAACATCCCAAAATTCTATCGGTAAGGACGTACAGCTTACTTCGAGCAAATGAATAATCAGAAACTTGATTGTAAATAAAAGGAAAGAACGAAAATAAGACCATGAACACTGTTACAAAACGGTTGGAAGAACGATTGGTACAAATAAATTATCAAGAGAATGTCACTTGAAAGGAAAGTGAGCCAATGAAATGATGAAGAACAAATTTATTAGATAAGAAACAGATCAAATAATTCATAAAAACGAATACAATCAATTCACCTGAGCCAGTCGCATCGGATCGAAAGGTGAGGCTGCTCGTACTTTCTCGTTTGTTCTGCAATAAGCGGCTGAATTATAGAACATTCAACAAAGGATTTAAGTTAATATAAGAAACAATACATTTAAAAAATGAAGTCATGAGCAATTCAGGTGAACACCATCGTTCGGGCTTTCGTCATAATACAATAGAGATTTCGATTCGCCAATAAAATAACCACAAAGAACTAATTTCAAGCGCACAAATCGGTAACAACACAATCGTACTTGAAATGGTATTATTAATCTGTTCCACTAACTTACAGTTCAAAACAAAAGCTCTGAACTTGACCAATTTTATTAGAACGAAGAGAAAATATTTTTTAAAAAGATATAAAGAGAAGTAACCGAGAAGGGCTATTGGGCGTGTGTTGAGAAGTATTCGGTGCGACATATGCATCTGGAGAGTTGGGATTTGAGTCATTCAGAAGACTGCTCTGTGCATCACAAGTACCTGGACAGCTCGACGGCGAAGAATTGAATGATAATTGCAGATACACTCGGAACCATTTTATACCCTCATATAAAGATGCCATCGCAAATATCAATAAACAAGATAATATCAATCCTGAATAAACACTTCCATAAGCAAATAACAACCAACTTCAGTAATATAAACTTCATAGAATACTATCGAAAATAGATATCACGTTTCAGAGATGTCTGTATTATAGCATTTGCGACGATCCAATTCCCAGTGGCATGCCTGAACAGGATCCAAACAAGAAACATTGCTGTATAATTCAAATATCTTGCCAAAAATACGCAAAACATGATTTTGTTCGCATGGTCAAAATTTGAAAGTTTTTAACTAGGAAAGTGAATGTCCCAAAATATTATTTTTAGAAAAGATATCAACAGAAGTAACCGAGAAGGGCTATTGGGCGTGTGTTTGAATACAAAAGCGGAATACAAACCTGACAATGAATTGATTCGCCAGAAGTCGAATAAAATCACTTCATCGTATCCACCATGGAACCACATTTTCATCATATGTCCACTATGATCCATCATCTGATGTCCACTATGATCCATCATCTGATGTCCGCTATGATCCATCATCTGATGTGCACTATGATCCATCATCTGATGTGCACTATGATCCATCATTGCATGATCATTGTGAATATGTTGTAAATGCTGAGCATGTGCCGAATGATCAACTGAAATCACAAACAGTATTCACGCCTTCATCGAACAAGCATCACGCAAATGTCATCACACAATTCAACATGCACTCCTTTGCGTTCGCAAATCCTTTTCGGCACCATCGAAATGTTACCCAGTCTAATACATAATTAAAAGGTTGTTCATTCAATTTCTGTAGCGCAATTCAAATTGCTCTACACAAATTCAATTCACAAGTTACTGTAAACTAAGTCTGTGGAGTATGGTTGCACACAAAACGATAAACGGTACGATGAGATGAACGTTGAGTCTGTAATTGACATTGATGGGCACGCTAATGAAAAAAGTTAGTGCGCTAATCCGCTAAAAAGCGAAAATAAATCCGCTGACTCAAAAAAATTCCGCTAACTGAGCACGTTAGCGCACTAATCGCTAACGCGAAAAAATTAGCGGAGCGCCAACGCTAATCCGCCAATCAAGCAAAATTGGTCCGCTAATCGCTAATGCTAATCCGCTAACTTTGTCGATAATTAAAACATCTCTTCGAATTCGCAGTAGCACCATTTATTTGTAAAGTAAACACCTCATTGCGATATTAAGCAATAGAAAATGTTTCTTGAATCATTTAACTACAGTCGATAAACACGACAGCCTGAAGGCTTATGGTGATAATAATAAGCAAGGCGATTTGCGTTGCTTATTTGTGTTGCATTAGAGAGGGCCTAACGGCAACTTTTTACGCGATCATAAAACAATAAGCAAAAATGATAACGAGAAATAACAAGTAACAAGTGATGATAGTCACAGTGAAAGCGACCCACTAATCGCAACGCAGCGTAATGAACTGAAATGTGATGGTAGTGCTGCACCAAAACCTAACATTCGAACTACGATTGAATACTCAACATCGAACCGTTCGAGAGTGTATAGTACGGTAGACTTGAATTTAGTGCACTTTGCATTCACACACATTAATCGTGTAACATTTATGCATTCACTGGCAGACGTACGGTTAGCGAATCACCGGAATTAATCCGCTAATTCGCTAAAATCCGTGAAAAATTAGTTCGCTGAACCGCTAAAAAACGAAAATAAGTCCGCTAAGACTAAAAAATTCCGCTAACTGAATACGTTAGCACGCTAATCCGCTAATTAGCGCGCTCACGCCCATCACTGGTAATTAACATTATTCATTTGATACACGACGTTCTTACGAAAACATGATTCCAAATAACTTACCCACATCAACGAATTCCGATGAAGACTCCTGAAGAGCTTTCAAAAATTTATCAATGCCGGATAAGTAATTTGTCTTGGGCAAGTGCGACGAGATGGTCTCAGTGATATTACTGATTAACGAATCGTTGGTCATCATGACAAGATGTTTGGTCGATTATCAACGATTCGGTACTGAATATACAGCCCAATGTTTAATCTGAAATTTACTTACAATTAGTTGAATAAATTATTGCAATGGCAGCAGTGGAAAGCGTTAGGAAAACAACGCGATACAAGAACGATATAATTTGATGCCGAAATTGAAGCTTGAGTTGCAACAATCAATAACAGGACAGTTCGATTAATAACCGATTGATCAACACGCAACGATACGAGAAATGAATTCATTCAACACTGAACGGGTTTGGCAAACGAAATGTTTACTGAAGAAGTGCAATTTATGGTCTGTGCAATATCTTCAGAAATGCGCGATTGGATATGTGCTCCTAAAATCAATGAGACATTCTTCGAACACGAAATAAATTCCTATAATAAACGAAACAGATAGGTCACCGAAAGGAACGTTAAATATGAACGTTTCATGGAAAAGCCAACATGATAAGGACATCATCGGACAATAATTCAAATTGTTATTTTCATCTCTTCAAATACAATGTCGATTCAGCGTTAAAATCATCTCATCATATGATAACGAGAGCAAATGATCTTTGAAATAAAATAAAGTTTACTGATGTAGAACTGCGAGTAATATTTATAAAGTACACATTCGAAAAAAGCCTCAGTAGATGCTGATTAATAGGAATTATCGCTTAGAAGCAACAATAAAACATGCGGTTTATTTTTTAATTCTATTATCATTCTACTGCTTATCCTCATCACCATCAAAATACAATGCTAAAATGAAGATAAACTGCACAGAAGAGGACATAGCGATGCACGATGCGTCATTATATCTCAGGATAACGACCGTTAAATGTACACACAAACAACATTCCTACTTCGAAAAAAACTATCGTTATCAAATGATAAAACTCCGAACTTAAACTTCGCACGTTGCACTTGATGTCCAAGGACAAAGAACACTGCAGTTGATTTACGTTGTAAGGGCAAACAATACGGTTCATGGCGACTGCAGACAATTATCGGCGTCTTATTTACGACAGTACAGACGATGGAATGTATGTTGAAATTACAAAAAGTTGACTTTGAGACGTTCGCTCCGTTTGTTTTCCTTCAATTGTTTACTGAGATGGTACGTGTCAATGATAGACACGCTTGGAATAATGAGAGCAACATGAAAAAAAAGTCTGCTTCAATAGCGAACGAAATGACTTTTGAATTGATAATTTCGAAATTCATTTATTTCTCAAGCTCTCAGCAATTAATATACAAGCTGCCGGAGTCATCCGATAACTCTCCTCGAATTCGCAACATAAACAAGTCAGTGAATTCAAAAGATGCAGTGTGCATATAAAAGAATTACGTAACATAATCAGAAAGAATTCATTCCAATTGACACGATAGAGTTACATGCATCATCGCTATTCACACAAGCCATACGAACACCACTACTAGTGCAATACTATTGGAATGCGTTTTGCTCATGCAGTGATATCATCTTTCCAATAGCATGTTTTTCGTAGTGGAGTTAGCATATTTCAGTGGTTTACACCAGGATTAGTTGTGTACTTTACGTGCATTCAATCATGAAATGCAAAAAGCAGTTTGGTATTTGCGAGAGTATTTGTTTATTCACGCCAATTGCAAACGTAACATGAACAATGTGTTATAATCAGCACATCAACAAGAATTACGAAGACAACAACGAGGCAACGCACATCACATGCATCAATAAACATAAACAACTTTCAATAAAATAAAACTGAGGTCCGTGTGTGAAAGCGACGACGCAGCTAAGACCTTCGGAAGGGTCTGTTTGACCTTTATGAATCATTTGTCCCTCAATCGTCCGTCATCAGAATTTCATCCATCAATACAGGGTTTCTCAACCGGGAGTACGCGCAACCCCTGGAGGTGCAAGATGAGATGCCAGGGGGTGCTAGATAAAGTGGGATGAAAGGGGGTGCGATAAGAGGATGTGAGGGGTACGAGATAAGGTTTTAGTGTAAAGTAGACAAGGACTTAATTCATTTTAATTCTGTTCATACTTCATGTTAATATGTTGATAACAATTCTTTCGATCGCGTTTCATTCATAAATAAATCGTTGTTTTAGGGGATACAACGAGCAAAAAAGGTTGAATTAATAAGAAAAAACTTGAAAATGAGCATTTACATGCATATTCACACAATACAACTGCTGCTTGTATCTTTCATCTGCTATAAAAAATCTCCAGAGTTCACACGAACGAATACAGCCCGGTACCACCTTCAAACACATTCCTTTTGGTTTAGTCATCAATTATCACCATGGATCATCTTGCAAAAGGCTCAAATGTAAAACATAAAACAATAGATCAGATGAAACTAAATCATGCGAATGAAAAATGCAGTCAATGAATTATTTCAAATAAACATTCCTCTCATGGCTCTCTATTCGAACCAGCATTTTTTTTTCACATTCAAAGACCATGGAAGCATTTTTAATATTTAGTAAACAATTTTTGAAGAATTCGTAAATTAATACGCCAACTTTCAAGAATTTTAAAAATTCTGATTGAACAACATATTCATTTGGGCACACTACTGAAAACTGCATCGAAAACAGCCATCAACAACATCACTTGCATGCAATACATACGAACAGAAAAAATCAACAGCAACTATCCATCAATAACATGCATGGACAAGAACTCGAATCTAGATTTGAGCAAAAAATGCAAATATACACACAAATTATGGAATTATTAACAAATTGAAGATCAAATTAGCTGAGCCGCAGAGAAAAAAATAAATGCAGAAATTGCGCAACATGCTGCAATGCGAAGGAAAATAGGGCAGTTAACATCATTAATATAATAATTGAAATTATTAACTTTCTTCTCTGAATTACTCAGCTGTTTTTCATTCAAGTACTTTCGTAATATTTGAACATAAGGGCACTCTTCATGCTACACTAGATACAAAAGCAATAAGATCGTTAGCAAACAAACGATTACTCATTTCACGGTCATAAACATAAGGAATTGAAAGCATCACTGTAATCATTCCAATATGCCGTGCTGATCAGTGTTCATGAGATGCAACACACTTTACTTGATAAGAGACCGTCAATATCAGTGACATCCAAATGATTGATATTCCGTCCCACATTGTTCGAAAAATTATGACATTCAATGCACTGCTTTCAGAAATCTAACGGGGAAAACAATTCATCTACTTTAAATAAAGCTACCTTCAGAACTGTTCATAGAGTCGTGAACAGTGTTCATAAGCATTCCGATATAGAAAGTTTTTCTGACTAATTTAATCAAAAGGACAGTCCACCTAGAAATTCTAGTTTAATCTATTGTTGCTGTAACAAAATAAAAGTTTTTTGACTCCATTCCACGAATTCAATATCGGTACTCTTCAATAACTTTTATGATGAAAAAATGATTATAGCTGCATCAGTATTTGAAACAAGGCAAAATCTGAACACTACAAAAACTACGAACAAAATTCAAACGAATGCGATCCCTTCGTATTTATAACTCCCTTTCAACGGTTGTTCACCCAATAGAATGTGTCCTGATTTCACATCGAATACTGTTATATAACTTCCAAATGGTATGCCATCTTTTTCTTCCGATTTCAGTGCAACAATAATTCGATCATCTGTTTCTGGTACGAACTGAAATGCTGAGAAACCGCGCGGTCCATTCTCTTCACCAATTCGTCGAGCTTCAACATTCGAGAAATCTTCTGATGCTATCAATAAATAATTCGTTCCTGCAATTCGATCACGCTGAAGAATACGTCACCTTGAAGCTCTGCATTTGATATATTTCATGTTACCATACATAATGGACATACAACCACGAACAATAAAGAAGAAATTGCAGATATCAACGAATGAAACAGTTTCGCTACAGACCTCAAGAAATTGAGAAACGAGATGCAACGCAATTCTCGATGAAGAATGAGCCAATAAATGCATTAAGTATTTCATTAAATGACCTCTGTTTTCATCCTCAGCTTCGGTGTACTTTTGCTGACTTGCTCTTCTTGGCATAAAGAACCATTTATGATGAACTTTGGACCACTGTGCAGATTCGTGGATCATATAGCCTGGATAATGAATACCCACCGATTCGCGGAGTCGTTTATAAGGTTGCTCCCAATTGATGTGATGCACACAACCATCAACTGTTACACGCTGCAATATTGCATTGAAACAAGTAAACAATAATTTCAATGTTCAACATAAATATCACAAAAATAAAAATTTTATGCTGTAAAGAGAAATTATTTTAATCAACACTGTTAAAATCGACATGAATGCATACGAGAGATGGAAAAACGATGATAAGGTGACAAATAAGTAATAAGATCAAATGAAGAAATACCTTAACCCACATGGGGTTGATACCAACAAAAACACCTTCAGTGGTGGTCCACTCTTTACCTAAACCACCAGCCCATAACTCCCCATCTTTAACCGTTAACCATTCGCCTTTAAATCCTTTTGTTTCGTTACCAGCACCATCAACCAACAATACCTAAATCAGCGTATCTCCGGAAATCTAACTGACTGTACGCAATATCTTCAATCAATACGGTATATTTAACGTGTGTCAATTAAAATATTATTCAGTGGACTTATATGATACAATGTGATGTGCACATGATGAAAAGCATCAAAATCAATGAAAAAAGTTTATAATGAATTTGATTATGACCAACTGGTGAACGAAAAATAGAATAAACGCATGGACACCAACCCAAGGGATTGCTTTATCACCGATGATTTTATAAACGATACCGGTTCTATCATCAATCGATAGCAGATTACCATGAAACACAGTCAAATCCGATAATTCCATCGACCTGCCACCAGCAGCTATCGACGAATGTAACATTACCTGAAGTGTGAAAAACGCTGCGTTACAATTTCATCAAATTCAGTTTTGAGTTTAATTTTCATTTCTAAGTGCCCAACTACTGTGCAACCCGGAATAGATACCCTACCTCAGTAGTTTCTACCACCGAATTTCATTTTCTCAGCCCCTCTTTGACAATGAATTGCATAGTAAGGACCAGATTTTGCATCTAGTGAATGAAAACATTATTTTTGAATAATAGAAGAGAAAAATTTTTTGACTGTAATTTTATATGTTGATTGAATTCGTATGTTTGACTCCCGTGATCATTCACTATGAACCGTAACGAATACGTAACTGATTGTATGAAGAGCAGACGACTCACCACGAGCTATACTACACATGCAAAGTTCCAAACAGATGAATAATGCAAGCCATTGCATTACAAAATGATACGACAAGGTCAATGGTATGAACTGACGTAACACGAACTAAGACTAACTTCTTGACCATCCTGCCATACGACACTAGCTTTCGTGAGCTCTTTATCTATTGTGAGTACACCTTTCTTCAAATAACTATGCCAATCGTTCTTTTTTGTTGGGTCCTTACTATCATGGTCTAGATCGGTTACAACAACCACTTCATATACGCGTGAGCCATCCGAAAGTTTGATCACTTCACCTAGAAATTACGACAAATAAAGTGAACCTTTGCTAGTAAACGACTCATCTGAAAATTCGGCCAGTCATAATGAAAATTGAGAGCATAAATGAGTTGACCAGTGAACTCGAAGCAAACAAAATTGATTAATGTCAACAGTAAATTGAAAATGCATCAGACGATCCATACAAACCATGACATTACAAAATGATAATACAAGTAAATCGAAAATGCATTACCAAAATATCATATGAAAGAATGATAAAAAAGAATAAAGTTAGCCCACGAATCTCACCAAGTTGTGACGCATTGTACGGTGTGCGTGTACATCCAGGCTGTTGCATTTTCATGATTAATGCAAAAAACGATGCGAATAAAACGATACATAATGAGACAAGCGTCAATAAGCTCGATGTCGACCACTGAGCAGTGTTCTCGGATGCGCTTAAACGGCGCATGGCAGCATTCGATGAATCTTTAGGCATCGTCACTTTAACGCAACTATCCGTCTGCAGTTTTTATTAAGAGGAATCATCACAAAAATTTAAAAATTACACATGAAATCAACCATTCATAATCTCTAGAAATGAATGCAACGAAAATTAAGATCCAGATTCGTTACGCATTAAAGTTCGATTTTCCGACGACCTTATAGCAGCACTATAGCGATTCGATAGTTCAAAATTATTCTCTTAAAAATTAGTCGATGGAATTAACTGCAACGCCAGAGTTTACCTACACTAAAATGACTTATAAGGTAAAATAGATTATTTATACGGAGAAACATTTCAAAGACACCAATAAGTACGAAGAATAAAATAAAACGAGTTGTGAGACACTGATCGAAAATTTCATGCATATAGATATATGTTATGTTTACATGACGTGAGTGTATGTGACGATGGATGAGTCTCTCTGAACACAGTGTCAGCAGGATTGGGAATGGGGCAATTGCTATCACTACTGATATACTACAAACTTCATAGACTACATAATCAACTTTATCAGAGATACTACGAAAGTAAGGATAAGGTTCTCGTTCGTTAATGTCCCTCTTATTATCACAAATATACACATCACTGATCACAACACTCTCCAATTTCTATCTCTAATTCTGAACATTGATCGATCTTATTTCAAAAAGTTGGCTGATCATGAACCATGAAAGAAATAATTGTCTTAAACCTCGTAGAAAGAAACGTATCAACTCAACAAGCTTCATGACATCATTTTGTTAGTAATATACATGTGAAGAGTAAGCAGACCTGTTGACGTTCATACGGTCAGATGTAGACGAGATATTCAGAAGAGTAACGGAACGACTAGATTGAAACGGGCATTCAAGCACACGTCATTGGAGGGCAACAAACAGATTTGCTTGTCAACAGAGGAATGGATAAACGTGGGCGATTCGGCGTATATTAGTTGCTTGATGATGTGTTCAACGCAAACATTAGGGTGGAATTTAATAAAGTAGCTAAGAGTGGAATTTAAAAACGGTGCAAAATAATGAAACTGCGAAGTAATGAAACAAATAATGTTTGTGAAAATCGTAGAAATCCGTTTAGATTTAATAGGTGATTTTGATCGTGATCCATTGTGTTTAATCGAATTTCACAAGATTTTGCAAAATCAATATGTTTATGACAAAATTATACAGACATAATCCCATACGGCGAAGAAGAAAAACTTCGAATCATACCGTTGTCAATATCAGTTGCATGAAACCATAAAAAACAATATTTACAATTCGTATTAAACAGGTCAATTGATTACACTTTTGATCGGACCACAAATCACATTTGAAATCTAAAAAATGAGTACGTCGATGCACAGAATATCTTAAAAAATGCGTCCTGATAAATTGTTTTCAAATTGATATTTTGATTGTTGATAAATGTGGTGGAGAGCTTTAGATAATAATAATATTGGGGATTTTCACAGAGTACTGAATTGATAGTAGTTCGGCGTCTAGTGGCTTTCGTTGTTTGCGATCCACCACACTTGAAATATTTATTTGGAAAATCGAGTCGACGGGGTACAATTGATTGAGGTGACGACAATAGATTTGGGTTTGGGGATGGAGAATGACACGTTGGATTTCAACAACAACAACCGGTCTGGAGTTCAACGACAACAATACATTTGGGTTCCAGCAACGATGATGTGAAGAATTGAGATTGGGGTTTTATACAATTGAGGGTGTGGCTCTATGTAAAATGATAAGATTTTAGGAAGGTTGAGGGCAGCTGAGATAAGATTACCATAAGATGGGTTGATATGAGAATATGGGAACACATGTCACAACTAGTGTTCGTCGGGGAGCAATTTTTTGCACGGGGGGGGG